TACAAAGGGGAAGTCATACTTAACCAGCATGGTAGCCCTCTACGATGAAGTGACAAGCTTGGTGCATGTGGAGAGAGCAGTGGATGTTGTTTGCTTTGACCATGGTAAGGTTTTTGACCCTGCCTTCTGTAACATCCTCATAGACAAGCTGACAGAGTATGGATTAGATAAGTGGGCAGTGAGGTGGATTAAAAACTGTCTGAATGGCCAGGCCTAGAGGGTTGTGATCTGTGGTGCAAGGTCCAGTTGGAGGCCAGTCACTAGTGGTGTACCCCAGGGGTCAATACTGGGGCCAGTAATCTTCAATATCTTCATTAATGACCTGGATGATGGGGCAGAGTGCACCCTCAGCAAGTTTGTAGGTGATAAAAAAAACTGGGAGGAGTGGCTGATGAGCCGGATGGTTGTGCTGCCATGGAGAGGGACCTTGACAGGCTGAACAGAGAGGAATCTCATTCAGCTCAACACAGGGAAATGCAAAGTCCTGCATCCAGGGATATCTGAGGGTAAACCCCTGCACCAGTACAGGCTGGGGGCCAACTGGCTGGAAAGTAGTTCTGCAGAGAAGGCCTTGGGATCTTGGTGGACAACAAGCTGACCATGAGCCAGCCAGGCACCCTCGTGGCAAAGGCGGCCAACAGCATCCTGGGGTGCATTAGGAAGAGTGTTGCCAGCGGATTGGGATCCTTCCCCTCTACTTGACACAGGTGAGGCCACATCTGCAGTGCTGTGTGCAGTTCTGGGCTCCGCTGTGGAAGAGAGATACGGGCTTACTGGAGTGAGTGAGTCCGTCACAGGTCCACAAAGATGATGAAGGTTCTGGAGCATCCTTCACGTGAGGAGAAGCTGAGAGAGCTGGGGCTGTTCAGCCTGTAGAAGAGAAGGCTCAGGGGGATCTTATCGATGTATATCAGTACCCGATGGGAGGAAGTGAAGAACAAGGAGCCAGATTCTTCTCAGTAGTGCCCAGTGACAAGACGAGAGGTAGTGGACACGTGAAAGTCAATCTGAACATCAGAAAATGCTTTTTTGCTGTGAAGATAGTTGAATACTGGCACAGGTTGCCTAGAGAGGTTGTAGAGTCTCCATCCTTGGAGATACTCAAAACCTAGCTGGACTTGGACCTTGGCAACTGCTTCTGGTGTCCCTGCTTGAGCAGGGTGTGAGACAAGATGATCTCAAGAGGTCCATTCCAACCTAAATGATACTGTGATTCTGTACATTCCTTTCTTCTCCTCCCCTCCCCCCTGCCAAAAAAACCCCAAGATGAGATCCGTGTCATGCTTGACAGTACTGTTGCATGATACAGTTTGTGAAATATGTTGGAAAACCAAGCTCTGAGCCTTATAACTCAACTAATTATCTAAAAAATAATTTCCAGCATAGTAGTTAATTCGAAAAATTAACTTCTGGAAGAGGCTTTGGAAGAACAGAGGCAGGTTTGCCCTTTGACAGAAACATAGCTTTTAACTCTGTGGTTTTATCCTAGGCTTGTCGAAGTATCTTTTTCCTGAAGACATTTTTTTAAAATGCAGAATGTTTCCTTCAGGAAGAATTTCTTTCCCTTACAGGTTTCATCTGTTGAAAAAGAATCAGCAAGTTTTCTGATGAAGACTGCTGACTAGAATATCCGTTTCATATCCCAGCAGATGACCTCTCTAAGTTAATCGATCCCAGGTCTAATGAAGTGACCTGTTGCTAAATAGATCTCTGCCAGCGTGTGTTTTCGTGTCTTCGGCCTTTAAACTTTGAAGTGAACCCCTTCATGGGATTTCTAGAAATGATCTGTTGTTTCCCATTCAGATTTTTCTGAAAAATCCTGGTGCATCAGCCCAGTGCTGTAAACGACTTTTGATTAAAATTATATTAAATATAAGCCCCTTTCTGGTGCTTGTTTGTAACTGGTTCAGTATTTGATTCTCAGGGTTAGCACCCAAGCCTGGCTGTGCTGTTCATTCCTGGTCTGAGCTGTGCACAGCTCAATAGCTTTTATGTTGTGCTCTGACCACACAGGAATGTAGCAAATCACTGCTTTCCTAGTTCAGCTTTGCAATTACATTTTACGGGGAGAGGGGATGTATGTCAGTGTCTGCTAATTCAGAAAAGCTGCCATTAAACGATAATCACTCAACATAATCTTTTGCATCCTACTGCATGCTTACACATTGTTTAGGACTAAACTGCATACTATTTCTGTGGAAAGAAAAAGAATTAAAAACCTGATTGGACTTTTATGATCCCTTACAGATACAGTAGCTTTGTATTTTGTGGCTCTATGTCCACACACCCTATGTTGTGCTTTTACATGGTTGTTTTTTCAAAGAAAATATGCATTACTTAAAAAAGAAATGTCTATTTTTTTGTGCTCTTAAAAAGTAATTCAGTAACTACCTAGAACAGCTAATTAGAAGAGAGGAAAACACAGAAAGGATATTGCTTACTGAAAATGACTGCTGTTCAGTTCCTGTGCCATAAATTGTAAACTGCCACTTAAGTTTTGTTTTGTTTTTTTTTTTTTTGGAAAGTGAGAAAATATGCAGACAACTGATGTCATTCTATGTGCACTGAAGGTCACTAGTATGTTGCTAACTCTATTAGAGTTGTGAGATTTTTGATGCCCTTGCACATGTTCTTAAAATAGAGGAAAGTTAAGATAATTAAAATTATAGTCCTTATTGCAGAATGGTCATTAAACATTCTTGATCCTAATGATACATTGTACTTACTCTCCCTGATGAGCAGAAAGTCTTTCATTTAGATCAGTGCAAACACCTGAGCACCTAAACTGTTCATAGGGTTGCTTGCCCTCACTGTGCACGTTTTGTAGAGTAGCAATGAGAGGCAGTTGCTATTTTGTTTATAACACTTTGGAAGGCATGGAAAACCTAATACCTGTTTTAGCAGGAAAGAAGGAAGGATTTCTGTCCCTGGCTGAATGCAAAATCTCCAGGAGAAAAAGAAAATTCTTAATACATTATTTAGTCTGTGAACTTGTTGATGTGTAATTTAATTTATTTTCTGATGCTGTTAACAACTAAAGGTTACACAGCTGTTACATGTTCACTTGAAAGCTTGTTACCTGCTAGCATGTTCTCTCTCTCTCTCTCTCTCTCACTCATGCACACTCGTGCCCCCTCCCTCTTGCCCCCCCACCTGGAGAACAGCCCGCTAGGATATCCTTTGGGAAACAGCAGCACCATTTCCCTGTTGGAGCTGTGTGCAGTTAAACTCACTGATCTCGATGTCATATGACTAGAAACGCAAGGAGCAGATTGACATCTGGTGCACACTCTCCAACTTGTCGGATAGCAAAAAAAAAAAAAAAAGAGGGGGTGGGAGTGAGGAGGGGAGGTTCCCTTGCTTTTTTTTCTGCTGGAGCTTGTTTGCCGCGAGCTCGGTTCATGGCAGTAACAGAAGCAGCAGCGCTTATTTGGTGGCTCAGTGCTCTCAATGAGGTCAAGCTGGATCAAAGGGAAACCTCCTGTGGAAGCATCTACTGTAAGTTCTCATACTGCTTTTTCCACGCTCCCTCCAAATGAATCGTAGCCTGTACAACTGATCCAGGCTTCGGTGCTTTGTGTCTCCCCAACTGATAATTTCGTATGAGGTTGTCAGGTTTTATGTTAATTGAACTTGTCAGTAAGGCGTCAGTTGGATAATAATGCTGTGCATTTGGGAGGAAAGGGCTTATCATTCTATCCTTTTATTTTCTGAGTGAGTGGGAAGAAGAAAGTGTGGTTTTGTCCTTTTGAAAAGCTCCAAGCTGTTGAGGTTACAGCTCACCAGATTCTGTTTTATGTAATCTACATATTCTACTTTCTAAAGAAAGTAATTGTAAAGTGTCTTTCAAATGTCCTTGGATTTTGCCAAATAGCTATTCTTTTGGGAACAGTTACCTAAACATTTATTTAATTTAAAAAAAAAAAAAGAAAAATTAAAAAACAGAGAAAGAGAAAACACCTTATTCAAATCTTGGAAACATCTGTAGTAACTAAATTTCAGGGACACTTGCCTTAGACAAGCTGCTGTCCGCTTGAGGGATCTCTAATGTGATCATTCAGAAATATTTCTTTGAAACCTAATTCTGAATATCAGGTGGTTTTAATGAAACTTTTCAGTTGCAAAGACTTTCACAGTAAGATGAAAAAATTCTCATTTTATGTAATGAACTAGCTGTTTCTGCAAATATGCTGTTTAGCATGAAGGAATGCTAACTTTTGCAGGTAGTGTTGTCTCATTTACAGCATGGAAACCTTGGGGAATAATGAAATGTTGGGCCGTAAATTTTTCAGCTGTATAACCCAACTCTTTTTTTTAAAGTACAAAAAACTTACCTGAATATATATATCTGGAAGGCTTGCAGAGTGGTTTCAATGGACTGAACAAAATAACTACCACCTGTTTGGATTATTGTTAGTAATATATTGTAAACCCTGAGGGGAAATAAAGTATCACAAATCATTATCCCTCTCTGCTGTAAAGTTCCTATTGAAAGGAGATGGCATGATGTCTCTCTCTTGATCTTCAGCTAGTATGTCTGGAAACCGGGCAGCATTGGCATTCGAAGTTGGATAGAGGAAAGGAGAAAAATAGTGTGAAATCAGGTCATGCGACATCTAGGTGTGAAGTATGAGTATTTGCTTGAGAGAGTTATGAAGCAAACTCTTGAAGACTCATTTTCACCTGTGTACTTCTATTTAATAAATAGAAGATCTGTTACTTTAATATGCTGTAATTTTTGTCTGGCATCACTGCAATATAAATACGAGAAGATAATGTGTAGATTAGCATCTGATACTTACCACTCTTGTTCTGAGGATAGGATCAAAATGCTCTATGAACCCGTCACTGGATTTTTTTAAAGTGTAAATGTGTATCTTTTCTTGGTTTTAACAGAGGCTGTCTTTGGTTCTGCTGAGACAGCTCCATTTTTAAACATATAGTGGAAAAAACCATATCATATCTTTTTGTGCAGATGGTGATGTTTCTTTTCATTTCAGCATTCAGCTTCTGAGTTGGTCCTAGTTGAAGATGAAATGACAGATACTGAAGATAATGAAGAGGAGGATTTAGGAGTCATGGATGATCAACGTAGTGTAATTCTCCATCTCATCTCTCAGCTCAAACTTGGCATGGACCTTACCAGGGTACGGACACTGTATCTCTTTTATAATTGTTCATTCTTTTTTCTTCTTCTCATCCTTCTCTGTGTGTGTGTGTGCACATGCATGTGTGTGACTCCTGTACACATGTTTTGCCCCCATGGACAATGAAGTTTGCCTCTTCATAAAGGTGTGGTTCCAGAGAGGTATGGAGTGCTGTCTCCTGCTAGGTAGGCTTTCGCATAAAGTGACCACATCAGATATTTTAGTGATGGGAGGACAGGGTCAGGGGGAAGGGGAAAGAGAAAAGAAGAAGAAAAAACCTCGAAACTCTTCCTTATTTTTTTTTTTAATAAGTCTTTCAAAGGAACCATATGTTGTGTATGTATCCCACATGTATGTTAAGTCAGGGTGCACTGATCATTTTGAGGAATCATAATACCAGTTTTATGGATGAAGGAGATAAGTGCTCAAGTTACTGCTTTGTGGATTGGATTCCATTTAATTACTTGGCAGCTGCAAAAAAACCATGGTGGTAAAGAAATTGCAGTCTTCAATATATCACTGTTCTTGTCTGTGCTAAGCAGCTCACCAATTTAACCTTCTGTGCATCCTTCTGGTCCTGGAACCAGTATTGTTATGAGCTTATCCATACTGATATGATCAGAGAAGTTATGGTGTCTAAGAAATTTCCTATAAGTCCTTAGGGTTTTGGAAAGGAGGTAGATGTTCTGGAAGCAAGGAATGCCTCTTTTTGAATAGTCTTACATTCCAGTGAAACCTGCTCATGGGACTTAATAATCAAGTGGATTTTTGTAAAGATATGGAATACCCTTTCCTTCCACAAAGCTTTTCTACTTAAAAAAAAAACAAAAGGCAAATAAAACCCCTATAACCTACTTCCACAAATAAGAAAAGCTCATTCTGACTTACTCCCTCCACAAATTAAAAAAAAATTTGGAATGACCAGAGAATTACCCTTGTGCATGAAGTAGCTATGCAGGAGATTCTTCTCATGGGCATTTTGGTATTCTGAAGAGTTCATCTGCTTTCCTTTTTGATCTTACATGCTAATCGAAATCTATTTTTACTGTCACTTTCTTACAAAATCAGGCTTTCTCAATATAGTCTTTTCTGCTTCCTCTGGAACAATTGACAATATTTAAAGATACTTAAATGTTTTAAGACTGAACAATCCCATGATCTGTTGCTAAGTATAGCTATTGAATAGTTGCATGGAAATTAATGTTTTGTTCTAAATAGAACAAAAGTTTCATCATTTCATTTGTGAATCATTTATACCTGTCACTTCTTAGTATGTCTGGGGTTATGTACAGTTCATTTTTTGTTTTGTTTTTCTTACATTTCTCAATTTTTCATAGCTTTTCCTCTTTTCTATGTTGGTTTGTTAGGGCTGTCTCAGTCCATGATGTCTAAACTAGACTAAGATTCCTTATCTGTTGTTCTTGTGTCTTCAAAACATTTTGTCTGTTGCCGTGAACAAGACCTTCCCTGATTTCTAGTGTCATCTTTTTGTCAGGGCAGAGGAGGCAAAAACCCCAAAGACACATGGTTAATGTAAACACAAAAAGTTCCTGTAAATAAAAGAAGTGCAGATACTTATAAGTAGGAATGTAAATATATATGCTAACCTATTTCTTACATAGTGTTCTTAGAAGACAGTTTTTGAGGATAGTGATGAATATTATCAGATCTATGGTGTGGCAAAATACTAGCACGCATGAATGTGCGTATGTAATACCCACAGTCTGAAAAGAGGAAGAGGCATATGGCAGGCATAGTTAGATCTATCTCTCGCCTGTGTGATGCACGAATACACATATGATGAGTATTAATGAGACATGCCACATGTGCACATCACTTTTCTGACCATTTTGAGGATTAAAAAAAAAAAATTACAAGACAGCTGGCTGCTTTTTTTTATTAACTTTGCTTCCTGACATGAGGCCTGTAGGGCCACAGACGTGACGATAAAGCTTGGTTTGTTGGCTGCACCTCTTCTCATTTTTCATTTATGCTCTGCAAGTCAGATTTCAGATAGACTTGATGGTAGTCAGCTGCTGCTGGAAGTGGTTGTGGCACAGTAGTTGCTAATATCAGAGGATGTTTTACATGTTTCCATTTTCCTGTGCTTTCTTCCCTAGGGTTGTTTATTCAGTTCATTTTGTGAGCTATGGATTGTAACATGATACACACATGAACAAACAGCTCTTCTGAGCCCTTGGTGGCTTTTGGTTCTGGGTGCATAATCATTACCTTCATGTACCATATCGGAGGAAACAGCATCTTTTCCTTTTCCTATGGGGTGCTTGCTGATGTTACTGTTGGCTTTGCCTGTGCTGACACGGATTTCCCACAGTGATGATAGCCACATTTAATGTTGCAGAGGTGCTTCACTTTTGAAATGTGTCATGCTGCCATGCCTTTTAATGAGGAGTTAAGCAGTAAAAATCTACTGTGAAGGGAAACACCTGCAATGAAGTATTCAATCTGCATGGGGATTTGCTAGAACAGGCTAGGCTCTGTGGTGGCCAAATAGACTTCAATAGCTGCTAGAGAGAGTTGGGTAGGGGAACAGTTCCCAGCAGCAGAACATAGTACAAAACCAGTGCCTTGGACTGGGCTAGGACTTTAAATCTAATTTAAAATTGGAATTGCTGGGGAAAAAAGTTCCTAAATTGTTTGTTCTTTGGACTTTTAAAAAATGAAAAAATGAATAGTGCCAAAAATCACTGTCAGCCTGATAAATATGTTGGCAAATGGCATCTAATGGATTGAAATTAATGCTAGCAGTTTGTACAGATGGGTGATGACTCCCCCGCATTCCCTTACGTTTCCTAGGCAGTTAGTATGTGCTAAAAATAAAGGGCTGCCATTCTGCGTAAAAGGGCTGCCAGTAATTCTGCAGAATATCTAACCTGTTGTAAATTAATATTATAGCATGTTCATGATGTCATAAGTTTTAAATTTGCTTGTCAATATACTTCTATCTTGTAATTTTAAAATGTTCGTGGGATGAAAATAGCTTGTTTTATTCCCACAGTGACACAGATGACAGCGGAAAGCTTTTGTACCTCTAAGAGGAGGACATCTCAGCATGGGGTACCTTGGTCAGATTTCTGAAAAAAGTAGGGAATGGTGCTGACAGACACCCATGTTTTGCTTCACAGTAAATAGTAGGGGGGATAAATATCTCGGTTCTTAAGAAGTGGTGCTCTTACTTTCCTCAGTTGCATTCAGATCTAATTAAGTAAAAGTGAATTCAAACCTAGGAAGTTATGATCAAGCTTTGAACCAATATCCTCTTTTGAACCTCAATGAAAAGGAAGAATGCCTGTTAAACTGCTTTCTTTTTGCATGAAACCTGAAAAAGAATAACAACAGAGATTATTCTAACATTTTAGAATGCAATGAGGAAATTTTTTGCTTCAGACTTCATCAACTTGGTATTTATTCTAGAGAGATGCTTTTGTCCATTTGGTTGTCATGCCAGCTTTTTCTCAGAGGAAAAAATTAGGCAGTTTTGACTTTTTATGCAAATACAAAAAAAAAAAAAATTATTGTAGTCCAAAACCAGTATAAAGAACGTAGGTCCTAAGTGTATTCTTCTTCTGGACAGTGCATTTTGCTTGGCTGCAAAAGAGTTGAAAACCTCATTCCTTTGGAAGCTAGAGTACTAGCACAAGTGCATGACAGTCCAGTGCTGGCAAGAATGCCGTATGCTTCCAAATTTGTTTATTTCTATTTTGCTTATTTCTGCAGAAATCAAGGTAGGGCCAATTTAAAAAAAAAAAAAAAAAAAGACTGGTGTGAATATTTTTTTTTTTTTTAAACTATGTTAGTGTGTGGTGGTGGTGCATATTAAAATTTTCAGGCAATGAGATTATTTAGTAAAAGGCAATGCTTTCTAGGCATATTTTGTAATACTGGAGTTGTGTAAGCTTAAAAACTCCAATATTTTTCATATGTAGTTCTGCCTCCTTTTGAGGAAACAGTTAAATTATTCTAAGTTTTGCCATGGATCCTTTCCTGCTACAATTAAGGATGTAGTTTCCATTTTAGTTAGGCTTTTAAAGCAAGATCATTTGAGCTGGAGTTCAAGCTTTATTCAGATTTCAAATTGATTCTTGAAACTGAGTAATAAGTGTCCAGTGGCTCATAACATCTCATTTAGTGGCGATGTTGGCATAGCTGTGTTAAATATGTAGCTGCAAAGCACACAGCTAGTACTTGAGAGAGTAGATACGAGGGCTAGATGATCAAGTCAACAGGATGAAACCACAGCAGTCTTAATGTTGTACCATAAAATTTGCATTGGCTTAAGTATGGTCCATAGTTTTCTTTCTTTCTCCTCCATTTGTGCTAATAAAGGTCACTCTTTTTAGAGAGCGCCACTTGGACGTAACGAGATGCAGAGTGCTGTTTATTCAAATGAGTTTCCCTGCCCTTTCAAATCTGTGCAGTGAACTCATGATAGTCACTACTAGTATTTCGAGCCACAAATGATGGGGGTGTTTTTTCTATGTTTTGCTGTCAGTTTCCCCCTTGATAACCTGGTCTTCGAGTGTGCAATTTATATTAAAATGAGATCCTGTATTGAGGATCAGTAATGCTGAATTGCATTTTTTTAAAGATTATATTGGATAATGAATATTTGGTCAGAATGGGAATGTTGCAAGTAAGACGGAATTGTTTAAAGAGCTAAAAATACCATAAGAAAATCTACTGCCTTTCCACTTCGCCTGCCAAAGTTTTAGATTTCAGTTTTAAAAAACAATCTCCTCAGCCCCTTGCTATCACACCACCAAGGGGACTGTAGTCTGTCTTTAATAAAAACTCGGTAGTTTGCCACTCATAGTGTAAAATTAAGGTCCTGCATCTTTTGGGGCCTCATTAGGTTGGTAACAGAGACCGTGTAGAGTCCTCAAGGCTTACAGAGTAGAGTCACAGGACTATTACAGATGGAACTTTGCTTGATTTATATCTAAACTGGTAAAAAATATTAGCCTGTAAAAGACCATATGTGTGTAAATAGTATACAGAAGGAAAGAGCAAATGAGTATGTATGTTACCAAACAGAGCGGTGATCTGTTTTTTTTTGCAGGTGTGGTATGTTGACTTACTGTGTAGGTATTAAGACTGCATTTAGAGCCGTTGTGACTGGAATTTTTTTTCATGTTTACAAGTTTTCTTTGAAAAGAACTAAACAATGAATAAAAGTTTGACAGCTTCTATTTCATTATCCATGGGATCCAAAAGAACTGAACTGTGCTTTGGTCCCTCTTAGAATAGCAAGCTGGGGCGGCAGGGGGGAAAGCAAATGTGTGTGTTTGAAGGGTGGCTCCTTGCCTGCTGTGAATAACCCTTGCTTTTGGGAAAGGGAAAAAATAAACACAATGAAGAATTGAAGAGGAAAGCAGAAAAATTGCTTTAATAGGGGACAGCTGTTGGTTTGCATTTGGCATTACTGAGCCACTTTGACTCTAGACAAATTTGTGTGTGCCAGAAGTTCTTGCTGGTCATGCAGGAGCGACCTCTGAGCTCCCCTGGGATGGTCCTGCACAAGGGGTGGAGGGTGAGGGAGGAGGAAGGGAGAGAATTTAATTATTTTAGGTCCTGTAGCCCTTGTCTGTCTTGCAGTGCACTCGAGGATGTTTCATTGAAAACTTTTAACCAAGTGTTATTCCTAAGTGGGTGACTTTGGCAACATCTGCGTTGCTAGATGAGCCACTTGAGACTGCATCCAAATCCCCCAGGGCTGGCTCCCTCCAGTGCAGCCTGCCTAGTGCTCAGGCCCAGGTTTTTTCTGGGTCCCTGGAGCATCTGCAGTCCCAGGATATTAATGTAACAGTTTGTGCACTTTTTGTTTGTTTCAACTTGTCTGAATTAAGATGAAGGCATGCAGGGGCCCACCACAGTAGTATGGTACAATCTCCAACTGAGGGGATGTGCTGTGTGCCTGGAGGTGACGGGAGAGCCTAGAGGTGGCAAGGGATTTGACTTGGGAGATGGGAGGGGACATGACACATGTGATGACAGTGTAGCGCAGAGGGAGTCAAACCTGGAGTGGTTTCCTGCCTCTTGAGAGGAGTCCTTGGCATGGTTTTATCCTTGGAAACGCACCTGAGGTTTGGTTTTGGTTGGATCTACTTGGCTTGGTTTGTTAGAGGCTTCAGGGGACCTAAGACATACGCAGTGGGTGGTCAGGGGCCCAGGAGTGAAACTGGGAGCCCAGTTGTTTGACAGAATGGGTAGGTGTACCCCTTGCACTATCCACCACTTCCAGATTGGCAATGTGTATGTTTATATAAAATACTCATCTTCTAGTGGTTTGCGAGGGTGTGCCCTGCTCTTTCTGAAGGGTTATGATTAGTTGGGTTTGTTGATGTGTGATGTAAATTAATTTACATGCAAGTATGTTTTTATGTCCTGTAAACAAGGAGAACAATGGTTGGTTTGTTAACTGAGAGGAGAGGAAAAGGCAGATTTCCACGTGAGCGGAACAGCCCATCCCTGTTGCGTGAGCTGCTCTTGTGAATCATAATGAAATAGGAAGCAGCCTGCATGGCTATCGAGGCCACTGCTTTTTCCTTCGCTCATTAGTAACACTGCAAAGAAAATTAAATTGCTGTGGCAGGGGAGGAAAATACGCTGTCCTGAAACTTGGCAGGGCCAGAATTGCAGCTGTCTTAACTGTTCTTCCCCCCCCTTCCCCCGTGGTAGTATGATCATGGGGAAATCATATCTGCCTTTGTCTGCTTTGCATACAGGTAGTGCTTCCAACATTTATTTTGGAGAAAAGATCCCTGCTGGAGATGTATGCAAATTTCATGGCCCATCCAGACCTGTTTTTGTCAATTGCAGCTGGAGCCACTCCCGAGGAAAGAATTATCTGCTTTGTGGAGTATTATCTAACAGCTTTTCACGAAGGCCGAAAGGGAGCGGTTGCCAAGAAGCCCTATAACCCTATAATTGGTGAAACGTTTCATTGCTCGTGGGATGTGCCTAAAGATAAAGTGAAAGCATTCAGAACTAATGGTACCTCCACGGTTTCTAAGGACCCAACCAAGGAGTTTGGCCAGGACCAGTCCACGTGCTACAAGCTGAGGTTTGTAGCTGAACAAGTATCCCACCATCCACCGGTATCTTGCTTTTACTGTGAGTGCAAAGAGAAGAAAATGTGTGTGAACGCTCACGTATGGACCAAAAGCAAGTTTATGGGCATGTCAATAGGTGTTTCTATGGTAGGTGAAGGTAAGAAACATGCTTTTATCTTGTTTTTTTGAGCTAATGTAGGTGTCAACACGACAGCAATCCAGATATTTTCCTGCTTGCTAGCCCTCTGACCCTCTGACCTTTCATTTGAACCTTGTGGCTATTTGCTTTTGTGAAGTGTGGAATTAAAACTGTAGGGTTCATGTAACATTTTTCTGTCCAGACAGAATGTGAGACACATTACATATATAAATGTGTGCTTATATGAATGTGAGACTGTTAATTATATCTGAAGTACAGTCGCACGTTAAGTTGTAGTAGCAAATGGCTACTGACAGTATATTCTGTAAGAACACTTCCATTTGTCTTGCTCACTTTTAAAGTAATAGGCAATTTGATATGGGACAGTTTCACAACTGGAGCAAAGCAATAGGAAAACCCATGTTTTTACTTAAGCCTAATGTTCTTTTTTCATAGTTTCTGCAAAGAATCATGGTTTCTGTAGTGTTTACAAAGTTAGTGTATTATCTCAAGCTTTGTAGCTTGTAGTCACGGTATAAATCGTGATTTGCCGTATCATACGTATACTGTCTGCTTTGTGATAAGTCATTGCTCAACATGAATTCAGAAATACAGGGAATCATAACAAATTCTTAATGGATGATCTGAACTGATAAACACACCTGTACCAGTGTCGTTACTGACTGCTAATGTACTGCTTTAATGTTTCTAAGCAATTTAGTCAGTCCCTTTTGCCATTTGAGGGTAATTTCCTGTGTATGGTTTTTAGTGTTTTACCTTAACTAGTTTTTAGACTGTGGTCTCAGAAGCACCAGGACAATTTACAGTAAATGCTGCTTTTTGTCATCGTTATGTTAAATACTATGATACTAAAGTAGTAAAAAAGTAGAGTGGGAAATGTAGTGATTTGGTTTTGCTTATTAGTAACAAAACAATTATGGTGAAAACACAGGGCTATGTTCTGCTGTTTCTACTAGCTGGAACTAAAGAACAAACTCAAACAGAAGAAAGGGCTACAGCAGCTTCTTTCCTGATGGCGATATATTCCCTGTTCTGTAGAAGAGCCATGAAACTTCCTTACTACTGGATTTGATATTGTTGTGATAGTAAAAGTCTGTAACAGCATGGCTGTTTCCTCCTTCCTATGATTTTTAGGTATTTTGCTTTTAATAGTTAAGGAAGTTGGGAAGGGAGTGTCAGAAGGGAAATCAGTCCTTCTGTCAGAAGGGAAATCGGTCCTTTTGTCTGTCTCCTGACTGTATGTACTACTGCCAGCCTGCGTCATTGGTTTCACTTGCTGCATTTTTCTGGTACGTATTTGTTTCTAGTACTGTTTTTCTCAGCGAAGGGAGCTATTTAATGGAAATAAAATTAAACACAAAGTCACTTATGATTATGTAGGAGTAGGGAGATTTCTTTTTCTTGCTGCTAGTGCACACAGTTCCCTGGGATTGGGGGTGTGTACTGGGGGGATTATTTAAGACTTCAAAGTCCTCATGTGTCCCAGTTTTGAGAGAGAAAGGGTCTAGGAATTAACCACTTCCTTACCCCAAGGATTGTTTAATGTGTGTTTGTGAGAGTAAGTTCTTCCCGCCCCCCCGTTTTTTTCCCTCCTTTTTTTTTTTTTACAGGCATAAAGCTCAGCGTTCGCCTCCTTGTCCCCTGTCCGTGGGGTGTTGTGTTTTACCCCCAGCCAGCAACTCAGCACCACGCAGCCGCTCGCTCACTGCCCCTACCCCGATGGGATGGGGGAGAGAATTGGAGGAGTAAGAGTGAGAAACACTCCTGGGTTGAGATAAGAACAGTTTAATAATTGAAATAAAGTAAAATAGTAATGATAATAATAACAATACAATAATGATGATAATAATAATATACAAAGCAAGTGATGCACAATGCAATTGCTCACCACCCGCCGACCGATACCCAGACAGTTCCCGAGCAGCGATCGCTGCTCCCCAGCCAACCCCCCCAGTTTATATACTGAGCATGACGCCATATGGTATGGAATAGCCCTTTGGCCAGTTTGGATCAACTCTTCTGGCTGTGCCCCCTCCCAGTTTCTTGTGTACCTGGCAGGGCATGGGAAGCTGAAAAGTCCTTGACTAGCATAAGCAGTTCTCAGCAACAACTACAAACATCATTGTGTTATCAACATTCTTCTACTAAATCCAAAACACAGCACCATGCCTGCTACTAGGAAGAAAATTAACTCTATCCCGGCTGAAACCAGGACATGGAGATATCCCAGGAGTGGAGGCAGGCTTTGGGGGAACATCTGCAATGGTGAACCCTTTCATTGCAAGGTTTGCTGCTGTCTTTATGATGGGCATTTTGGGAGGAAGTTTGAGTTTACCAATTTATAGTTATTGTTAGTCTTTTTTGTTCATGTAAGCAGTGCAGAAGCATGCAGCTTCATGGTGACAGCATTTCTGGGAAGTGATGGAGAAACTCCAGTGCAGTCCAAGCATTTCTGTTGTGTGTTGAGCACTGGCAATACGCAGCAAGAAGTTGTACCACTGAAGCTTTTCCACCATCTGAAAACAGCCAGCCTAAACCTGACAGCCTCGGTTTAAAATGTTTGCTTCGCAGTGCAGTTTTTTTCACTTGAAACTACACTTTCTTAATTTTTTTTAAAAATTTATTTTAGTCCCAGGGAAGTCTTCCTAATTAAGTTGGTGTGTAGATTTGTCAAGCTGTGCAAAAATAAGAATCTACTGCAGACATTTCTTTCTCATGTGCTACATAAGTATAAATTCTGTAGTAGATTGAGGTCAGCATGAGTACTGGGGAATAGATTGCTGAACAAATGAAAATTAGCCGCTGGATTTACAATGTGGAAAAACTATGTCTGTATTTACATATCTGGTAATAATATTTTTGAACGTGAAATATAATTTGGAGACTTTTCTTTGTATTCAAGGACATTTTATGCATTGCAGCATTTCAAGTGGGATAAGTTAGTCTAACAAAGCACAGATTGAGGAAAGATGCAGTTAGAAGATATATATGAAGGTAGTTAGGAAGTTAGCCACTTAGGAGGAGCTTCCTGACAGCAAGGTTGGCTGGTAAAGTTCTAGAATCTTATTTTAACCTGCTAAAACCAGATTAAGTGAGTTTCTCAGGATCATGACTGATTCTGCTTTTGATAAGAGATGAAGTGACATCTCATGAATCATAGAAATCCCTGAGTTTTGTTTGTTCCTTGTTTTTGCTACTATGCATTGGATGACCAAAGTAATTGTGTTATTGTTGAATTTTTGTGGTCTTGTCCCTTCCTCCTCTTTGTTTTTTTTTTTTTTTCCATTATGAGCATTCAGCCCTTTTTTTGACTGTTGCTGGAGTTTACTTATGTACATGTGGGTGCCTTTGACTTTTTGTTAGATAAGTAAGGATTTTAGATTCTGCATGATGCCACTTGAAAGACAGTTTCCTTGATATTTCTAATGTACCTGTGTCCATTCTGAGACGTCATTTAAATTGTTCTGGTGTTGGTATAGTAGTTTCGTTATACTGTGCATTCATTCAGTACTATTTGATGTACGTAGCAAAAGTATTTCCTTCCAAACAGCATTAGAGAGCCGCAATTAATGTTTTGGATAATTCAGTGGTAGGAAGTGGCCATCTTGTTCTAGTTCAGGTATTTATCAGCACATTTTTGTTTGACATGTAACTTAGTTGTGACCTTAGTGTTGAACACAAAAAACTCATGATTTGTTTTGAAACTTTGCTCTCTACTGAATAGTTTTGTGTGTGGCTTTCAAACAGTTGAATGAGGCTTTTTCTACTGCAATTGGCTATTTACAGAAATACAGTAGTTCTGAATTTTTGGATCTATATTGTGTAAGGAATACGCTGATAATGTTTCTGTGGTGCTTTTGAAGCTTATTTTTTTAGCTTGTCACAATGTCCTTAGATATATAGAGCATGTTGCTTTTTATGCTTTGTGGTTAGCAGCAGTGGATATGCTGAAATAGGATGTCATGGAAGTACAAAGGCTTCTATAAGAATTTAAAGAATTAGGGGATTTGAGGACAAGTATGGTCCTGTCATACAAAGGGTACAGCTGAGTATCTTCATTGTACAATTTTCACTGTATGTTGCATCTCAAAGTGACTTAAGATTCCTTCCCCCCATCTGTGATATTTTTTTTTTGTTGATTCAAGGTAAGTATCAGTTGCAGGGATGCAGAACAAGTAGGAAAGCACTGCTGGAAATCCATGTGAGAAGCTGTTTTATATGCTAGCCCTTCATCTGTGGTTATGAGGGGTCTAAATCTGGCTTGCTAATGAAATGTCTCAACTTTTTCTTCACTATATGACAAAACCCCCATTCTTCAGAGCAGTCAGCATTGCGTTTCTTCATGAGAAAGCTACTCTGAATAGAAGAGAGGGTGTTTTGCATAAAAGAATTCATGTTGTGTGCACAGTCCCCAGTTCTGGTTAATGTTAATTATGTACTAATGAGAGAGTGAGGAAGAAGTGTAATGAAGAAGATCACATTAAGATTTAAATTAGCAAGGGATGAGAGAGTCAATGTAAATATTTAATGTTTTTTACGTGGTCCAAAGAATCTTCAAACAGATACTGGTTGTAGGATAAGGGTGCTTTAGTGGAAAAGGCTGTGGTGAGCACACGTCGGTGTGGGCTGTGCGTGTTCCTTTTCTGCTCTTGGGTTTTGTTCCAAACAGCAAAATCCAACAAAAAGCATCACCTTTGATTCACGGATTAATTTTGCAGACAGCATAAAGTACGTTTAAGTGGATTGCTCTGTATTGTCAAGTGGCTAGTTACATCTTGTGTTTTCACTCCTGCAGTTCTAAATGTTTTAAAAACTAGTGAGGTATAGGCTTCCAAAAATTCTTTTTTTAAATTGAAATCAACCTTGAAAAGACTTTGTAGGTAGGGAAAAGGTTCAGTGCTCTTTCCAGGGTAAATCTAAATGAAAGCAATGAATGTTTTTTCTCTTGTTTTTTTTTCTGTTTAAATATATGTATGTGTATGTGTTTATAGGTGTACAGGTCTATAGTTTCTATTCCTGAAGCATTAGTGACTTTTTGATTTACCAGTCCCAAAGATTGACTACTCCGTGCAACTAGAGCTACTTAAATATTACCCTCATACTAATTTTTGTATTAATACTTTTTAGCCCAGTGGTTTCAGAACAGTTTCCGTATGGCATAGCACTCATTACTTAATTTAGCAAATGGCTCTAGTCTTTGGAAAATGAGCAGCGCAGCGCGGCTTGCTGGAACGCTTACGAGACAGTATGAGCCTTGTTCTGGTGTCTCATATTTTCCCGTGCGAATCTGCGTGGCTGGTGATGCACTATGCCCATGTGGGGTTCATCCTGTACGTAACTCACTCCTGTTTGTGCCATGTTAAGAATCATGCAGACAGTATGAAGAGCCTGTTAAATTAGGAAAACTGCCCTAGGCCGTTTGTGTCCCACGTACTATTTGTTGTTCAGATTGATCTCCATACAATCAGTGGGAAGCATTAAATTTCACATGCCTCTTCTGCAGCTTATTGATCCAAAGTCTCCTCTGGGTATTTCATCAATATGTATTACTGGAAAATCAATTCACAAAGCTGCAGCATCAGTGAGGGACATGTGATAGTCAAACAGGAGAAATTATATGCTGCAAACATCACTTCCTTTAATGCAGGCTGAGGAGTCGTGGAGAGGAGCATGACTGTGAATACGTTGCCTTAGTCAAAAGCAGGAGTAAATGGCATTGAGGACATTTCAAGGGGGAATTTCAAAATTCCGCACTTGTTTACAAAAAATTCACCCTTCTCTGTGGGTTTTGTTCTAACAAGCTAGATTACTAAATCCTCCCAGAGTACTTACCTGGTGCATTCTTCCATGCGTAATAGCTTCCTAAAAATACTTAAGATTTATTTTTTTTTTAAAAAGAATTTGCAGTTCCCAAAAGAATTCATTGATGTGAGAGGAGAAAATGTTACTGAAAATGGGAGAATCTTCTGCAACTTTTCGTGTATATTTACTTATAGCCATTTTTAAACTAAAAATGAATGATCCCTTGCAGTGGGGAAGCAAGGGAAGAAAAATAGCCTGTGTATTTTCCAGCAGATATTTTTAAAGATCAGTCACAATGTAATGATACTTAGAAGCAGATGTTAAGAGTACACAAGACTTTTTTAAAAATAACGGCTGGATTTTAGTTTTTTCTGCCTTTACTTTCTCAAGATTTAAACTCGGCAGGGTAGGGAATGAATTCAAATTGTGGTAGCAGCTACAAATGTTGACTCTCAGTGTCATTTTGGCTTCCACTTCCCTAAGAGGGCATGGGTCTCAGTTCAGACATGGTGGTGCGGCTACAGTCTTCACGGTGCTTCAGTTAAACCAGGTTTTGCATGTGGACTCTGTAAGCGATGGAATGCAAAACTAACAGTCACCTTAATACTAAAAGTAGTATCGCGTTGTGGATATTTCAAATCTTCCCTTTATTCTTTTTTAGATTATAATTATTGAGCTGGAGTCATATTTCAAGTGAGAGATAGCACTTCTGTATTTATTCAGGTGTTTAAGGAATTAAAAAAATATGCTACCAGGTGCTAAAAATACCGCCAAGAGAGCTGGGTTCAGTTTTTAATATCTAACCTGCTGTGGTGGTTAAATATTTACATTGAAGGTCACTGCTGTTGTTTGGTTTTCACTTTTCAGTGTGCTTGGCAGTGTTCATTAGAGCTCTGCATCCCTCCCACCGGAGTATGGAGGAAAAAAGCTATCGATCCCATCAGAGAGACAGAGGCAAACCTATGCTAACCCAGGAGGAAATTGTGTTTACCATGGCAGTTTCCTCTCGTGTGGGGACACGCGGTGACGGTCAGAGGAGGATGGCTGGGCCCGGGGAAGTAGGAGGCTCTGGGGAAACTCACATGAAGGTGTGGTTCATAAATACAGTGAGGTTCTCCCCCAGCAGTGAGCACCACGCCTGCCCACCGTATTGCTATCAGACCTTTTGTCTTTTAAAAAAAAAAAAGAAAGAAACACAAAACCCTCATGACAACAAAACCCCCAAAACTGTCATGTTGGAAGCTGATGCTTTCAGGCGGGCTGTGCTTTTTGACTGCGTGAGGATTATGTCTGTGCTTAGACTGGGGAAGCGTGACCTCGTGGGTAGCATCGCAGGCCATTTCCCGCAGCTGGTTGCTGCTACGTGTCTGTTGCCCGTGACTGTAATGAAGAAGGTGGAGAATAGATGGGAACAGGAGGAGAAAGGAAAGCTGACAGACTTGAGTCTAAAACCTGTTGTAGTTCTCTGTGGAAAATGCCCAACTGCGGACTGTCAGGTTTCCTTTCTGCGTTTGATCAGTACCCATTAGCTTGCTTTGATCCTTTTCGAATATCATCATCAAGTTAAAAGGCTTCTCGATTGTTCTTTATTAATTTAATGTTATTATAACATCCATTTAATGAGTCTGATAAGCAGAGTCATCTTCTTGAGTAAAAGTTCTCCTGGCTGCATGTCCCGGGTGAGTTGGGTAGTTCAGTGTCCTGCAGTGTGTTCAGCTTGGTTTTACCTGCAGGTATGGAGCTGAGGAATCTTGAGGCAAAATGTGCGTGTGTTCCAGCTCTCTCCTGGCTGTTCCCTGCTGGTGAGGGTTCAACACATGACACGAGGCACTTGTGACTTGCCCAGGCAAAATAATTAAAGGGCCTTTTAAGACATTGCTTTTCTGCGTTTGTGCTTTTGCACTCTCCAGCTCATTTGTGTCAAACTTGCTGGAGTAGAAATGCTGGCTGTGTCGTTGCTGGTGGGCTGAGGCTGCAGAAGTCCTGAGAACAACTGCATAAAACTGTTCCAGTTTTCACAAAGGTGTTTTCCTGTGGAACGGTTTCAGAAGGCACAAGTGACAAGTTGCAGAGCTTCCTGTGCCTGCATTTAGTTCTATTAATTGGAGCCAATATTTAAGCTGATGATTCTGTTAGAGCTCTGTGCTTTTAAACTGTGAATGTTTTTTAGGTGGTTTTTCTCATACAGCATTAAGGGCATATTTTTATGTTGGCAGTAGTAGTGCCTTGTTCCAATTTAGTGCTTTTTCATCATTACATGTCAGATCACTTTTCAAAATTAGTGTCATTACTCCCTTAAACAGATAGACAAACTAATCAATACCACTACCAGTGTGTTCTTTCCCT